AAGATTTACGGAGTAAATCTTGTGGGATTTAAACATGAAGCTTAGGATCCTTCAAGGAGTCCTGATAGCTTACCAAAAAGCCAGTACACTTTGAGAGCGTCAAGATTCTCAAATGTACTCTCAAATCCTCAAAGGGAGGTTTCCTAAACCTTGGGATCACCAAGATTCCCAACCAAACCTTGAAACCTTTCCCGAAGCAAAACAACTAACAGACAGAGGGACTTTTCACAAGCGGCTAACGCTCATGATCTTACACCCCCCGCAAGTTGCTGATCCTCAAAGATCTTCGAACGACCAGACTTGGCCCTTCTGCACTAGGGGATGCCCAGGCCACATTCCCTTGGTGCGTACTCGCCACCCAAAGCACAAAAACAAAACACAAACACAATCTTTGATCAAAAAGACGTGCAAACTCTCAAATAACTCACATCGTGGTGAAAACACGTGTCAAGCTAATTACTGCGAGGCGATCAGAAACACTCAGTTCCTCTTCAAGACCTCGTCTCACGTCTCAGCTCGCAGTTTTGTCAGGGCGAAAAACACCAGGTCTCCTGACCCAAAGAGTCCGAAGGGACCAAGAAAACTTCCAGCTCCAGTGTGTCCAGCGTTGCTTGACACCAGTTCCAGCCTGTATCCCAGCTTTTCCAGAAAAAGAAAGCGTCTTGGCCTCCGTAAAGCCTTCAGTCAAAAACACATGCATTGACTGCAACTCCGCGCAGCAAAAGAGCCATTACAGCACCGAATGCCATGGCTTAAGACGGCTGCAGAAAAACCCGAGAACCTTCCACAACCATCTCTCCAACTCAAGGAAATCATCAAGATTCTCCTCACCCTCAGCCTTCTTCCAGGCTTGATCGATCCAAGCTTTACGCCTATCCTGGGCCGCTGCACGCCTGTCCCCTAGCTCATCCTGGCGCGCAGCCATAACACCCGAATGATCCACCATTGGTGCACCAGTGGGTGCCACCACAGGAGCAGGCTGCCCCAATCCCGCCAACATAGGCATCGTCTGCAGGAGATTCTGAGTCACCATCTCTGCAGTACGACGAAATGCCTCTTCAGTCAGGGCAAACTGGGGCACACCACTGGCTGCTGGAGCAGGTGCTGCTTGCATAGCGGGCTCTTCAACCCTAGGCTTCTTCGCCTCCTCATCTTTCTCCTGCTCCTCAGCCTTTCGCTTGAGTTCCTGCTGCAGCTGCTGTCGATTCACATCTTTGGCCACCAGTGCTTCCAACTGAAGCATCTCCGCCTTCAGCTCCTCCAAGTGCTTCAGCACTAGTGAGACTACATTTACAAGAAGGTGCACAGGCAAGTACACCTTGTGCTTCAACACGTAAGCGTTGGTGCTGTGCCATGGGCAACTGCATTCCCAACTCAAAACAGGACGTGTCTCCTCACACGTCATCAGATCCCTGTTGTGTCCAGCCATCGCATACTGAAGCTCCTTGTAGTTGGAGTAAATCCAAAAGGCCCACTTTGGCAACACACCATTTGGGTCCTTGTTAGGCACGGACTGGCACATCAAGTCAGCAACCCAGCGGATGCCATTACACACGACATTCAATGGCAGGCAGTCCGTTCTCTGCCACTCCTTCAACCTTTCAGGATGCTGATCCTTTTGTGCCTCACCATCGACACAAATCTCAGCTCCAATCATTGGCAGCATTGAAAACAAATCCATCATCCTGCCAACACTGATATCGGGGGCATCTCCAACCAACACCAGAGGTGTTGCACCCTTCTGGCACAACCCACCAGGGACAGGCCACTGATCCCATAAGGAACCTCCGTAAACAGGCTCCCAGCAGCGGTCACTACTTCCCAAAGCGCACCTTGGCCACCGAATTGGCCTTTAAGGTCAATCACCATGATCAGTTTGTCCAAAGCTGCAAGCTCTTTGCCTCCTCGCAGGCCTTAACCTTAGAGAGCTCTTTGTTCTGGTGTTTCAAGGACTTGTAGTCCTTGCCGTACTTTGCCATCCCCTCCTCGCTCAACAAGGAGATGAACCGCACAAACTCTTCGGCCAACTCACGATACGGCTTACCCTTTCGGCATACCGCTTCATGCAAGTAATTGTACCACTCCGGTGTACCCTTTTCATCACCAAGATCCGAAAACCAAGGAAACAGCGGATCCGTCTGCGCTGAGCCTCCACTGTTGTCCTCTTGCCCACCAGGGACTGGAGTGATAGGCACCTTTTCCGATGGGTCACCTTCACCTTGAGGCGCTGGAGTGATAGGTGCCTTTTCCGAGGGGTGGCCTTGGCCATCGCCCTTCGGTCCCCATCGTTTGGTCTTATCCTTCTCACGCACGTTGAAAGCATGCTGAGCTGCTGATCCCATCACGGTGATCTCACCCTTGCATTTGCCACAGGTGAAACCTTCCTCGGTTTTGGTCAAACCATAGGATTCCTCATGCTTAAACAACCACTTGCACGTTTTGCACCAAAATGGTGCACCCATCTCTTGGTTCTGCACAGCAGTAACCATCTCAGAAGATCGATCCTTGGTCCCATCTCGGGTATCCAGTCACCCTGAGAGCTTGAGCTTACAGTTTTGCGGCCCATAGACCAATCACCAAGTCCACTAGCGCCAGCAGGCTGTCAAGCTTCATGCCGCAAATCATGCGAACCTTTTGGACGGTTTCGTCTTCAAAAATCCCTAAAGCACCTTGATGCCCACGAAACAAATCCATGCTCAAACATTTGGTCAAAATATCGGCTACCATGGAGACGTGGGACACCAAACCACTTTCAGACTTCCTTCCTCTTGAATCCTTTCCTGCAAATAGCAAACGGCTTTTTCCAAATGTCGAACCCTTCGACTCAAACCTTGATTCTTTTGCAGATGCACTATCAGTGTGGAGAACCAACTCCACCTGACCATTGGCAATCAAAGTTGCAATCCCTTCACTTTCTTGAACTGCAGTAAGAATTGCTCTCAGCTCAGCTTCACATGAGCTGAGTGACACACATCCTTGAATTCGCGAAATCCCTTTGATCAAACAACCGCGGGGTAACCACGGTAAAAGATGGCTATTCTAGACACCGATTTCCTTCCCAGAGACGCTTGCGGCGCCCAGCTCGCAACAGCATAGATATCGATGATGCTCGCTAGCTGGTCCTGCGTCTGGGACCTATTCCAACACAGATACTGGCTTTTCAAGGCGAAACACTTGCCTCAAAGCATGCTCAAAACAAGCGGGCTTGACTGACCTTGTGAAAGGTTGACATCCACCGGGCCAAGTCTGGACGCGACTGACCCACCAAACAATCCAAACAATCCCAGCAAGAACTGCTCAATAACGCATCGCAGCAGCCTCTGTCAACAAGCTTTCCTTCTTAGGATCAGCACGTCCCTTTTCAATGATCTTTACCAGATCCGGAGGGCTGCTTAACACTTTCAAATCCTGCATAAGTCTGTCTCAAACAAACTTTTACAGTACTTCTCTGACCAACTTAATGGCCTCAGGCTCCCACACAAGATCAAATCGTCCACATACAAGAGCATGAAAATCCGTTTTCTCTTTCATGGTTCCTTCGAAAACCAGTTTAGTAAGACATTGTTTCGATCCATCTGCACCACGCGGTCGCACTCATACCTAACGAAGGAAGCCGTACTTCTTTTGCCACATCAGAACGGGTGCGCACTGCCTTTTGACCCATTCAGAACCTTGGATCAAAGCACCGATCAGGTGAGATGTTCGAATCCCATGCTTCTTGTACAGACAATTTCCTTCCAGCTTTATGTGAATCTTTGCTTCCAAGCTCACCTTCCACAGCTGATGAATTGCTGCTGGCTGGATTTGCTGGTATGTTTGCTGTACTGTTGGCACGTGGATTTAGAAATTGTTTCTGTCTTTCTCCGCAAAAGCAGCTAGAAATTCCGGCATTTGACGTTGTGTGTTACGTTTCATTTTTTTTTTGCGGATGGAGAAAAACTCCAGAATTGTTTCGACCTGCACCCACTTTCGAAGTCCGTTCTTGGAACCGACGCTGAGTTATCTTTTTCTGTTCTCATTTTTAGTTTGCTCTCGCTTTCTTTCCGTCGCAGAACCTTCCATACAGCGGCTTCGTGTGAGAAGCCTCGCAAGTCGATTTCGTGTGGCGTCTTGTGTTTTGTTTGGTGCTTGCGTCTTGTTTAAGATTTGAGTTGAGGCTTCCTTGAAGCCCCCTTGAAGGTGCGGCTTTTGGTGATGGTGCTTGCGTTTTGTTCTTTTGCCTTCTTCTCTCTTGTATTTTCCTCGCA